GATGTTTTTAGATCTTCTGGGAAAATACCCAGCAGGGTTAGAAAATTGCTAAACATTATGGTATGTTTTTTAAAGGTCTGCTGTTAGAATGCCTCCAGCTTTTGCCTGCTCAGTGTTTCTGAGTGTTGCTACTCAGAATTTTGAAGTTTTGTGTGTTTTAGGATTGTTTTGAGTATTTCTATGAAGAATGCAATAGGTATTTTGCCATTTCTGTTTTGCTGTTGCTTGAATCGATAGATTGCTTTGGGTAGTATGTGCGTTTTAGCGTTATTAATTCTTCTAATCTGTGAACGTAGGATGTCTTTCATCATTTTATGTCCTCTTTGATATTTTTCATCAATGTTTGTACTTTTTGTTGTAGAAATCACTCACTCACTTAGATAAATTTGTTCTAAGGCAATTTATTTTATTTTTGTGGCTATTGTAAATGAGATTTTTTTCATCAGGTTCATTATTCATATTTTAAAATCTTTTGATTTTTATATGGTTTTGTATATTAAAGCTTTACTGAATTTATCAGTTTGAAGAGACTTTTGGTAGGATCTTAGGTTTTTATATATATATAAAATCACACCACCTGCAAATAGGGATACTGTCACTTCCTCTTTTCCTATTTGAATGATCTCATTTTTTTTCCCTTTCTCTTTCTGTTTGTTTTTTGAGACAAGGTCTCATGTGTAATGCAGGCTGGCCTTGAATGTAGGGCAGTCCTCCTGCTTCAGCCTCCTGCATGCTTGGACTATAGATGTGCACCACCATGCCCTGATTTTATTTCTGTCTCTTTACTAATGGCTGTGATTAATAGTTCCAGTGCGAAATTGAATAATACTGGAAGTGTCTTGTTCCTGATCTTTGTTTCTAGATATTTTCCCCATTAAGTATGGTATTAGCTGTGATATTGTCATACATAGCTTTTATAATGTTGTAGTACATATCTTTTATACCTAATTTTTGAGGGTATTTACCAAAAAGAGTTCAACTTTATTGAATACTTTCTTTACATCTACTGATATGATCATATAGTTGTTGTCCTTCATTCTGTTTATGTACTGTATAATACTTATTGATCTGTGTGTGTTGACTTATCTTCATCCCTGGGAGGAATCACATCTGATGATAGTGCATGATCTTTTTGTTATACTCTTGGCTTCAATTTGGTAATACTTTGTCGAGAATTTTTACATCTGTGTTCATCAGGCATACTGGTCTGTAGTTTTCTTTTTGTGTGTACATTTTTGTCTAGCTACAATATCAGGTTAAGGCTGACTTTGTAGAATTAGTTTGGAAGAATTCCTTCTTTCAGTTTTTTGCAATAGCTTGAGACAATTTTGGTATCGTTCTTTAAAAGTTTGGTAAAACTCAGCAATGAAACCATCTAGTCCTTGGTGTTTTTGTTGGTAGATTGTTAATTACTAACTCAGTCTACTTATTATTGTTTTGTTCAGGTGGTCAGTATCTTCATGGTTCAAATTTCAAAAGGTATATATGTGTCAAGAAATTATTTAATTGGTTTTCAAATTGGTGTATAGTTGTTTTTAATCTTCCATAGTGATCCTTTGTATTTCTATGGTATCAGTTATAAAAGATCCAATGTCTCCTTTTTCAGATCTAATTTTACTTATTTAGGTCTTCGTTGTTGTTGTCATTGTTGTATTGTTAGTCCAGCTAAAGTTTGTTAATTTTATTTTTTGAAGAACTATTTCATTGATCACTAATATAAATTTTTAATCTTTATCTTAGGTCCACTCTGATCTTTATTTCTTTTTCTACTAATTTTGGGTTTGCTTTTGTTTTTCTTGTTCTATGAGATGTGATGATAGGTTGGTTGTTTGAGCTATTTCTATGTTTATGATGTGGGCATTTGTTGCTATAAATTTTTCTCAGCACTGCTTTTGCTATATTCTGTAAGTTTGAGCATGTTGTGTTTCGTTTTCATTTGTTTCAAGATATTTTTAAAACTTTCTTTTGTGTCTCTATTGACCAATTGGTTGTTCAAGAGCATGTTGTTAAGTTTCTATGTATTTTTAAAGTTTGTAAAAGTACAGTTTCTAAAATGTCTCTAGTCTTGCTGATTTCCAGCCCGAGGCAGGTGTGCTAGGGCATCCCTGTCTGTAGGGCAGGGTGTCACCAGTGTCCAAGGTTCTGCCCCTTTGGAAAGGAATTTGGCAGGTCAGGTGCTCAGGGCAGGCTGCTGAGAGCAGGCTTCGTGGTGCTAGGCTGAGTAGCAGGCGGGTAGAGCCACACACCTGCATGGTGGACCCACAGATGGGCAGGGTGTCAAGATGGCGGTAGTCCAGGCAGGGGAGGGCACAGTGTGAGTGGGGATCTTTCGGGGGTATCGCGGTGCTGTGGCTCCTCTGCAGGTTTCCTAAGCTTAGTATGGCCCGAGAGGACTGCAGACATCTCCAGCCACAGTAATTAGGCATCCCAGCAGTAATGAGTGCTGATGAGACCCCCCCACCGTGTGAGTCCCTTTGGGCTTAAGGCTCATCGCAGCTGGGAATCCTGGGCAGTAGGTGAGGAGGAGGAGAAGGAGGAAGAGTGTGTGTTTCCCTTCTTTATGAGACTCCTGCATCTCTGCTCCTCAGGATCTCTGCCACATCGTGCTGCACCCCAATAGTCTCCATCTAACACTGAGAGAGAAATAGCAGTTATTTTTTGTTTGCCCCCCACCCTCTTTTTTTGAGAGAAGCTCACCAGGCACTTCTAGTCGGCCACCTTGCTCTGAAGTCGAAAACCTTTTGAGCACCAGCATGACCCTCAGAAAGTGTTGGATTTTGGAGCATTCGGATTTCAGATTTTTGGTTTAGGAACACTCAACAGGTAATCTATAAAAATATTACAAAATCCAAAAAATTCCAAAATCTGAAGTTCAGGCCCCAAAACTTCAGATAAAGGGTATTTAGCCTGTATATATGATGTGATTGTAGAAGTGTTGAAAGTTAAAAATATCCTGTATTAAGAGATACAAAGAATATTCTAGCCCATTAAAATTTTTGATAGGTTCTGCAAATAAAAACTTTAATGCTGTGTCTCCCAAACATGTTTGACTATTTAACTTTATTTTTCCTCCTAACAATGATTAGTATTTCATACAATAGTTTTGGAAATGATACTGCAAAACAATTAGGGTTAACGTATGACTCAGCATATGTCCTCAGCTTTTCTATGATTTGAAGGTTAGCATCAGTCAAGTTATATGATTTATATTTTGCTAATTCTCTGATTCATTGTGAATTATTTATACTAGGCACAAGTTAATATTTTGAAAACTTTGGAAGTTTATAATACAAGAAATGGACAAAGTGATTGAGTCAAAGCATAATAGCACACAAAGCCATGTTTACACTTAACCAATTTACAAAATTGCTCTTTTTAGTTTCTGCCTTTTTTACAGAACCCTTTGTCCTTAAGTCACCTATAATAAAGCAGTATCTCATTTTATTTTTCCCAAAAATAGTGACCTTTAAGTCACATCCTGTCCCATGTCTTCTGCTTTATAGTCTTCAAAAACATGTTTCATGAAAAAAATGTGTCAGCTATTGTTTAAAATATAAGACTTTGAGATGAACAAATAAGCTTTAATTTTAAAAATAAGTAAAAACAAAATTCCTTTCTGATCACAACAAAAGTAAATGCCTATTATTATGCGTGATATCTACCAATCATTTTAATAGTCCTGTAGGGAAGAGGTATGGGTGGTGTTTCCATATTACTTCCATAAGCAAGTAAATTCTTAGAGCATAAAAACTTGTGCTTCCTAGACTAAGTGGCAGAATCAAGAATGACTTATGTCAGTCGGATGTCAAAGTGGGTATCAACTGGGCACCCCCGTCTGTGAGTGTAATCCTAACCACTTAGGAGGCTGAAGTGGGGGAATCACTTAAGCCTACTAATTTGGGGCCAGCATGGCAACAGAGACCTTGTCTCAAGAAACAAATGCTAGGCGTTATTTTAGACCACTTGAGAAATAAAGCATGTTAAAAGTACAGGGAGAAAACATCTATAGTCTTGCAAATCAGAAATAATAACGAGTTTATGCTGTTTTTTCTGTTCTTTTTAATACAAAATATACACACCAACTTAATCCAAAATGAAAATTGTGTATGCTACTATTTTCATCTTCTTGTCACTGAAGTTTCTTCATTAATACTTAAAACTGTAGTCCTTAATTAGATCGTCACTATTTTCTGTTGCTTCTTTTTCATCTTTTTATTTTAATTCATTTAACAAAATTATAACTTTAAATTTTTACTGTTTTCACATTAATTTTTGTCACGTAATTTATCAATTTATTAGAAATCTCTTCTATGTCTCATTGTCCTCGTGAAACTGTTTTCTTAAAATGTAAATAAAAAAAAATTTCGTCAAGAGTTATACTACTGTTAACCCAGGAGGTCACTCTCAGTTCACTTTTTAAGCTGTTATACTAAACAGCTAAAATTTCCCATATTTCCTGGCTGTAGGTCTGAAATACTCTAAGATTATGAAGTATCTTTGCTGGAGCTAATTATGTATACAGTTTGTTAAAGTGTCATAGGTATAGCTGAACTAAAAGACAAATAAGATCTAGATATCCAAGATGATCAGCAATTTCTTAGAAGTACGATGTAGCTGTGGACTTTCTGACTTCTGTTTTTTCATTTATATTATGTATAATGCTTGCCTTATGAGAATTTGAAGTTTCCTATTAAAGTTTTAGTGAAAATATTTCATTCTTTGTTTAACAATTTTTGATGGAAAAATAATGATATAATTGGCTTTTCTGTAGTTGATGGTAATCACTGTTTTAAACATCTTAACATGCCTTGTATTGCAGTACTAAAGAACATTTTTGCTTATTTTGTATAGGTTGTGTGTATGCTTTGTATGAACTTTCTAGCAGTATAAAACATTTATATTTAAATGACTTGAGAATAATGCATTGAATTTTCAAGAGCAATCAGTAATTTTTACTTAGCAGTATGGTTCTTTTCCCCTTCATTTAGATATGAAGTAAATTTTCAAGATGGTATTGATTGTGGAGGTGCATACATTAAACTCCTAGCAGACACTGATGATTTGATCCTGGTATGAAATTTTAATATTTAAGAAAACCTTATTAAAGTTAGTAAGTATTTTTAAGGAGTAATTCACACAACTGAAAATTTAGTTTCAACTGAAATTGAAAAGAATTTGAATTTCTCTTTCCAACATGAGATTATATAGCTTTCACAGCTTGCCTACAAGTTTCATATAAAGCTAGGTTAGTTGACATTAGTTTTGTAATCCTGAGCAAAATAAAAAACTCTACCCCATCTATAAATTTAAAAATGACACAGTGCCTATGCATGCTTTAAAATATCAGTTTAGAGTTCTTTATGAAATAAGGATCAAGTTTGTTTAGACAGGTAAGATAACCAGAGCAAAGCAGTGAAATAAAGTGACCAGAGAACCAGATAAGAAAGTGGGCCAGTTTAGGCATCGGCAGCCCATAGAAAACAATTTTTAAACATTTTGTGATAAAGCAGCCATAGAATTCTAAAGATTATATTAAGACAATTTGAAGGTTAGAGACATTTCTTACAGCATTCTCCTGCAGCAGACTGTGTCAGGGCTTTGGCATGTAGCAAAAATTAAGTAAATAGTATGTCCATGAGATACTTGTCATATTGCACAACTATGTATAAGCTATGAAATGTAGATCAAAGGCTTCATGTCCTACTTACATTTAGGACCTGGTAGAAGGAGGCCATTTGTGGTGTTCTTGCTTTAGATGTAAGAAATGATTACCTAAAGGTAGCATGACAAAAAGATTTAATACCAAACATTTCTATAAGGACGTGATCTGATTAATTTATTTAATCCCCAGAGAAACGTTATGGGTAAATACTATTGTCTCCATACTTTAGAGGTCATGAAATGGAGATAACACGATAAAATTTTACCTAGTGCCACATACAGCTAGTTTAAGTGGCAGTGCTAACATTTGGATTTCAATATCTAAGTCCAGAGCCCATACTTTAACTTCTATTCCATACCAGATAAAGAGAAATTTCTATTGAAACAGGGATTGGGTTTCTGGATCTGTTTTTGTGTTGGAATCTCTTCATTTTGTACACAAAAGGATAATTTTCTGGTGTCTTCCTGAATAATAATACTAATAATAAGTTTAGTATTAAGGTAAAAAACATGCTTTCTTCTAATACTTCTCAATAAAATGGTAACAACACAAGTTAACATAAGATAAACAGAGGTTTTATGATGTTGTTAAGGTAACTTGAGCATCTATGGGTTCAGGAAAGAAGTAGTATATTTTTCAAAACCATGTTTTTTAAAGTAAAATTTGTCATTTTCTCCACATCATTTGCTGTCACTTGTGTTAAATAGTTATTTGGTAAATAGCTGTTTGTAAACTTTAGACAGCTGGGTAGACTAGAGAAATTAAATTCTCTGTAATTCAGAACTAATGCTTGCACTTATCTCTCTTTAAAGGAAAACTTTCATGATAAAACACCTTATACCATTATGTTTGGACCAGATAAATGTGGAGAAGATTATAAACTTCATTTTATCTTCAGACATAAACATCCCAAAACTGGAGCTTTTGAGGAGAAACATGCCAAACCTCCAAATGTAGACCTTCAAAAGTTCTTTACAGACAGGAAGACTCATCTTTATACCCTTGGTATATTCTTTTATTCATTCATTAATTCAAAAATATTCGCTGACTACAAATGTATTCATGGCACTTGCTTTGGGAGAAAATAAATATACCTTTACTTTGAAGATGTTTACCTTTTAGGGAAAATAAGATGTACGTAATGATAGCACAAGTAGAAAGGAAAGTGCCAGATGAAAGATACAGATGAGGTACAGTTAAGAGTTCAAAGGCAATGTTACTTTCAGCTTGGACACTAGGAGAAGACTAGTGAAGAGTGTATTTGAACTTGTCTGCAAGTATAGATGGAATGTGGAAGATAGGAGGGGAAAGGACATATTAGGCACTGTGACTGCGCTGCTAGAAGAACAAGACACTAGAAAATCAAGTTAGGGAAGCGGTGGTACTTATTGCCAGGCAGAAGTGTTTAGACTTTGTTGTGTAGGCAGCTGTGATTATTGTGAGGTCTCATCTCACAGTGGTCGCAGCACATACCTAATCATAAAAGGAAAAGCACTGAGCAACTGTGTGTTAACACCCATAGCTTACGTAAGTAAATGAGAGGTTGCAAAGATCTGGGAGAGCAGAGTACCACGGGGTTGTTCCTCCCGTTCCCAAGCACCCGAGCTCACAGGGCTCAGGTCTGCACTTAGAGGCACAGCTGGGAGAGGCTGCAGGGTGTTTTGAACTGGCTCTCTTCTTTTCTCAAGTTTTAACTCTACCCAAGATTAGGTCATGTCTCTTTTCTTTCCAAAAGCTGTAGTTACAGAAACATTTTGTTTTTCAAGTCAATGCCCAATTTTATCTTTAAACATAGCTATGTTATACAAAATTTGTTTCTGAAATAATTGGAAAGTAATACTAGACACTTTGGGGAACATCAACTGTGAAAATAATGAGAAATCATAACTGGAATACAATTAACAAATTTAATTTGACTGTTAAGCCCAGTAAAAAGCAAATTATTGGTATACAGTATGCCAGAGGCCATAAGAAGTTTATGACCTTTGAAACAAAAATTCCACTCTCAGCAATTTATCCAAAGAAAATAATCCAGAAGATGACCTATGTGTGAAGATAATACTCAACATTAAGCAAGAGTTTTCTGTATAATACAAAGATGGCTTTGAACATTTAGTAATAGGGAAATGCTTACACAGGTTGAGCATCCTTTATTTGAATAAGAGAGGGAGTGCTCGAAAAGCCAAACTTTTTGAGTTTCCTGGTTGGTACTCAAAAATATTTCAGAGTGCTAGGCGTGGTGGCACACACCTGTAATTCTAGCATGCAGGAGGCTGAGGCAAGAGGATTGCTGTGAGTTTGTGGCCATCCTGGATTACACTGAGTTCAAGGCCAGCCTAGACTACACAGCAAGACCCTGTCTCAAAAAAAAATTTTTTTCCCAGAGTATTTCAGATTTCTAAATTAAGAATGCTCAACCAATGAGGTCTTTGAAAGAATCCCAAATGTGAAAAATATCAAAATCTGAAATAATTCTGGCCCAATGCCTTTTGCAAAAAATTCCTCAACCTATGATATTAAAATGAAGAAAGTGAGACTCCATTTGTAGGTGTATTGTGATGGTTACTAGGGAAATTAAGCAAGCAGATAGGAAAAAGCTTGAGAAAATATTCTCCCTTCATCAGTTGCTCTGTATTAGACACTTTGCTTGGAGCCATCATGTGAGCTGAGCAATGATCTTTCTATTTTGTCTTGTCTTATTCAAGTAAGCAGGATACCCTAGAAAACGAACTAGTAGAGCTGAAATTCAAATTCAAGTCTGACTGGCTGTTATAAAAACTGATCCTTTGTGTTAGGAATATTAAATTTTTTAATCTGTAGTATTATTATATTTTATAGCATGGCATAGTTTTTGAAAAGAACTTTAAGGGTACCTTTATAAACTTTATACAGTCTGAGGCTTTTTATTGTAGTCATTTGAAATATTCAATTCATTTTCTAAGTAGCAGTTGTTTTTGCCAAAGATTTTGAGCAAAGGTTTTCCTTTACATATGCATATTTGTCGTATGTATTTGAACTGTAGGTTTCAAAAATCCCTTTCAATTGCAAAATTTAGTGTACGAACTTTTTCAAGATTTTTCTTGAGGAGTGCCTTTTACTGAATTAAAAACAGATGCAGTACTTTTTTTCTTATTCTGGGCCTGCTTCGGTCTTGACTTTTCCCCTTTGAGTTTTATAATTTCAGCATAATAGGAAATAGCGGATGAAAAAGAGAAAATACTGCGTGTGGCTTTGCATTGTTTGGGTTTGTGTGTAAGTCGCATTATTTGGTTGCGATCTGAATAATCTGTCATTTTTGTGACTGAAACCTCTGGAGACTGTTAGTTCTTCAGAGCTGTTTCTTCAGAAAGTGCACACGCACTTCCCTCGCTAAGTTAGGATGAATCTGAGAGCTTCTGCTGCTTTGAAACCAAATGGTAAGCAGCTGTTTCCATCATCATCTTTTTCAAAGACCTAAATTTTGCCTGGGAGGAAGAGAGGTTTTTTTTCTTTTGTCATTACAAAGAATAGAGAGTCGTTCATGAAATTTTTGACATGGAAACTTTTAGGAGGTCAGAATTTACCTGGAAACGTGGGTAAGGATGAGCTTGAATGTTTTAAATTATCCTTAAGACATTTTATGCTGTAGTCATTGAATTTAAAATGCCTTTGAGCCTTACCTTTAAAGATCCCTGAAATCATAATAACTGTCAATGTTAATTTCCTGATTTGGGCAGCTGGATTGAGTTTATTTAGGACAGTGTCCTTGTATATAAAAATTACGTGTTAAAACATTCAGAGGTGGGGCTGGGGATTTAGCTCAGCGGCAAAAGCGCCTGCCTGGCAAGCGCAAGGTTGTGAGTTGGTTCCCGGTACCAGAGAAAAACCAAAACCAAAAAAAAAAAAAAACAACAAAATAAAACATTCAGAGGTGATGTGTATAAGGCCAAGTAGTAATGTACTCAAGTGGTTCTGGGTAAATAATTGAGTTCTTTGCAGTGTACTTACAACTTTTTAAGTTTGAGATTGTTTTTAAAAATTTAAAGATCCCAAAGAAGTCAGGCATGGTGACTCACGCCTTTAGTCTCACCTACTCAGGAAGCTGAGGCAGGAAGATCACAAGTTTGAAAAAACACAGGGTACAACTTAGAGAGACTCTGTCTCAAAATAAAAAATAAAAAGGGTTGAGTATGTAGCTCAGTGGTAGAGTGCTTACCTAGCATGTACAAGGCCCTGGGTTCAATCCCCGCTGTTGCCAAAAATAAAAAAATAAACACTGAGCAATATTGTTGTTCTAGATACACTGGTCCTGAGTCAAGATAGAGTAAACTACTGGGTATTTCCTATTTGAGGTGTAACGGGGGGTTTTATCATTAAAAATGCAGTTTCAGACAAAATATTATCTTTATTTTAGGAAGTCTCATATCTAGCGATTTCACCATATTTTGATTTATTTCTTCTGATTTTCCTCTATTTCTGGTAGAAAAAAAATTTTATCCGTGAAGCTTAGGCAGTTTTATTATTTAGAAGATTTAAGATATACGATCTATAGAAATAAGTATAAAATATTTGTTTTTTAGTAATGAACCCAAATGACACATTTGAAATGTTAATCGATCAAATAGTTGTAAACAAAGGAAATCTTTTAGAAGACGTAGTTCCTCCTGTCAATCCTCCCAGAGAAATTGATGATCCTAATGATCAAAAGCCTGATGAATGGGATGCAAGACTAAAGATCCCTGATCCTGCTGCCGTCAAACCGGAAGACTGGTAAGCAAAGGATTTGGTTGCCAAGTATTATATTGTATTTGGAATAAGTAATGATACATGACATATAAGTGAAGTTTACAACCAGTGTAACTTAATTATTTTAAAATCAGAACTCCTTATTTTGACTTTTATGGGAAATACTTTTCTAAAATGGATTTTATGCTTACCTTTAATTTTTTATTTTAGGTAATATTTTTATTTTGTTGTATTTTGTAATATGTGTTTATTGTATGTTTGTTTTTTATGGTCTCAGTGCTATAGGGAAACACACCAACAGCAGTTGGTGTGGTAGTCTAATACACCAGCACTTTAATTTTTAATTTCAAATTTGTTTCTTTATCGTGTGTGTGCGAATATTTTACATAGTTGCAAGTCTTTTTCACTTAATAATTTCTTGGCTTTAAAGTGCACATGTCCTCAACATTCTCTAAAACTGTGTAGGATTTATAAATACCAGTATGCTTGAACATGAGTTTTTCACTCTCTGAGTATTTATGTTGTTTCCATTCTACAGGATCGTGAATATTTTTCTTAAAAGAAATGCATTCATTTTCAGAGTTCCTATAATTTGAGTCTAAATGGTGAGAGATACCTGTATATCTCTCATTTGCTAAGGTGTTCTTTGTCCTTCAAATATGTTTTGTAATTTCCCCATAAAGATCATACTACTTTTGTTCCTAGAAGTCTTTGTCTTTTTTTCCCCCCGTGCTGATTGGGTAACTATTAATTACTATAAGTTGCTAAGTAGTTTCTGCTTTTTGTATTTAACCTACCCTATTATCTATTGTTGTGTGTAACAAGTTACCCTAGACTCGGCAGCTGAAGGCAACAAATATTTATTATCTCACATGGTTTGGGAGCCAGGAGTCTGGGCATCACTTGGCTGAGGGACCCTGGCTCTGGCCCAGGATGTCTCCCGAGGGTGCCCCTGTGCCGTCAGCCAGAGCACAGGACTGCTTCCACACTGGCTCAAGTGGCTGATGCTGAGAAGTTTCGCTCTCTGCTTGGGCCTCTCTCTTGGCCTGCCCAAGTCAAGCAGATAGCTTCCCCAGATGGAGTGAGCTAAGAGGAAGAGAGAGTAAACACAGAAATCGCGGGGTCCCTTACAGCCTAATCCAGAAGTAATGCACTATCGCTTGAGTTGTACTGTTTGTCACACTGACCGCTCCTGGTACAATAGAGAAGGGGCTATACAAGGATATGAATCTGAATACTAAGAATAACAAGGTCTGTTCTTAGTTTACTAAGAGTCCGCCTGGGATGGGGTGTTGGATTTTGTACTCATAAAATACTTTTTGTACATTTATTATGATAACAGATGGGTTTTCTTCCTTATTTTCTTAGTATAGTGAAAAACAGTGATTGGTTTTCTAATGTCAGAATAACCTTATAATACATTTGGTTGGTAATATTATCCTTTTTGTATTCACTGAGTTCTAGAATATTTTTCCTTGTCAGATTCATTCAGATATGATTTTCATACGGTTAAATTCATTTAGATATACAATTTGTGATTTTTGATGAACACAGTCAGTGATGTAGCCACCTCCACAGTCACAGTCTACAGTATTGCCATCGTCCTCAAAAGTCGCTCTGATTCTTTTCTAATCTGTTCTCTCCTCCTACCCTTAGCCCCTGTAACCAGTGATCTGATTTCTGTCCCTATAGTTTTGCCTTTTCCAAAATATCATGTTAAATATAATCATATAATAAATGGCTTTTGCATTTACAGTATTTCACTTGGAATAATGCTTTTGAGATGCATTTGTTAGTACATTTATTTTATGGGTGACAAACTTTCATTTATGGGGATTGTGTTATAATTTGTTCACTCATACATAGATGCTAATTTTTGTGTTTTCCAGTTTTGTGCAATTATAAATAAATTTATGATACACATGCTTAGACAGGACTTTGTGTAGACAAATTTTCTCTTTTTATGGTAAATACCTAAGACTGGATTGCTTGATTATACAGGAAATACATGTTTAAATTTATAAGCAACTGCCAAACTTTTCTAAAGAGTTGTACCATTTTGCATTCCCACTAGCACTGTGTAAAAGCTCCAGTTGCTGAACATTTAGAGTATTTGATATTATATGTTTTTATTCTTGTTTTGGCTATTCCAAAATGTCATGGTAAAAATTCTTTATATTCTGGATAAAGACTTTGTATTAGTTACCTTTTGGTGTGTAACAAATAATACCCAAAATATGGTGGCTTAAAACAGCATTGTTTTCTCATAGTTTCTGTGTGAGGAATCGGAGTGCAGCTTAGCTGGGTCCGCTAGCTCTGTGTCTCCCCAGGCTACACTTACAGCATCAGCCAAGGCTGTAGTTAACTTAAGGCTCCACTGGGGATCCACTTTCAGTCTCACTCAGGTGGTTTTTGGCAAGCTTCAGTTGCTTGAGGAACTGAATTGTTGTTGGACTGAGGGCCTCGATTCACTGGTGAGTAATGGCCAGCATCTTGCCACATTGCAGAGTTCCTTGCAGTGTCGGCCTTTTATAAAGTTGCCCACACCACGGCCCTCACTTGGGCAGATGGAGGAAAGGAGAGGCGAGAGAATGTAAAGACATAAATCACAGTCTATACTGAGTTAGCAGTGTCCTTCAAATATTCCAGTTTGCCAATGCCCACAGTTGTAACTTATTTGGGAAGTCCTTTGGAAGTATAATCAAGTTAAGGAGAGGTCACATTAGTGGGCCTGTAGGTCATCAATCTGATACAACTGATGTTCTAAGAAGAGGGGCATTTGGACAGAGACACACAGGGAAAATGCTATGTGACAAAAAGGCAGAGGTTGAAATGGTGCACATACAAATCAAAGAGGATACAAATGGTTGCCAGCAGCCAGCAGAGGTGAGGAGGAAGTGAAGAAGGCGCAATCCTTCTCCAGAGTCTTTAGAGACACATGCCCCTGCCAAGAACCTTGACTTTGGACTTAAGCTCCACAACCATCAGAGAAAATCTTTCTGTCTGAAGAAGCCCCCTCGTTTGTGGCAATTATGGCAGCCTCAAAAAGTTAAGGCATATCTTTTCTAACTTAACCTTGGAAGAAATACCCCTAATCTCTGTTCAGTGATGGAAAATTATTCTACCACTTGAGGGGAGGGCTTGCGCACAGGTATGAATCGGAGGTGGCAGGGATCGAAGCTGCCTCCCTTGGACACAGATGACTGCAGTCCTGAGCATCACCTTGAACAAGCTCTTGGAGGCCCTGAAGCAGAGGGCCCGGCTAACTTGAACCCAGATTCTGCAGTACTGAAATCATGCAGTAGTGGATGTTGAAGTCCCTGAGTTTGGGGTCTTTGGTGACATAGCAGCAGGCAGTTAATACAGGTGTGTAGCATGTGGGTCGTTCTTCTCAGTCTACAGCTCGTCTTAATTTTCTACATTGTAGCCATTTTACATTTTTTGTGGAATTCAATTTCCTGATACTTGTTTTTGATTATTCATGCTTTTTGTGTCTTACTTAAATAGTCTTTGCCTAACTGAAGGTCACAAAGATATTCTTTTGTTTTTCTACTAGACAGTTTTCAGTAAAACTCTGTCCTGAGATACTTGCTTTATATAGCATGAGGTATGAACCAAGGCTCATTTTTTAAAAATAGGGACGTCTAATTTTCCTAGCATCTCTTATCCATTTAGTGTCTGTAACAATATGTAGTGATGTCCTGCATTTTATTTCTGATGTGGTAATTTGTGTTTTTTCTTGGCACATACAAGAAGAAGTGCATCAGTTTTATTTCTGTTTGAAAAAACTAGCCTTCGTATTACTTTTTCCTGTTGACCTTTTTCTACTTCCTTATTTCTATTCTTTCATGGGACTCAGTTTTCCTCTCTCTTTCTGCCTTATTAGGGTTAAAACAGTCTTTCTTTTTTAAAGAAAATAGCTATAAGTTTACTCTTAAATGCTGCTGTTATATTGCACAAAGTTGTTATTGACAATACCTTACAGTTCAGACTATTTTCTAATTCCTCTAGTGGTTTCTTTTTTGGTCCACCTGTTTTTAATGTGTTACATTTTAATAAATTATTTATGGATTTATCAGATACAATTTTCATTTTGAGTCCCAGCATTGTATATATATATATATTTTTTTTTTTGGTTTTTCTCCGGTACCAGGAACCGAACTCACGACCTTGCGCTTGCCAGGCAGGCGCTTTTGCCCCAGAGCTAAATCCCCAGCCCCTTGTTTTGCTTTTTGAGTCAGAGTTTCACTATGTAGTTCAGTTTGGCCTTGTGCATGCATGTCGCCAGGCTGCCTTACACTCAGGCGATCCTCCATCATCAGCCTCCCGAGCGCTGGGATTGCAGGTGTCTGCTCCCTCGCTCCACTGCGGTCAGAAAATATTCTGGGCTCATACTGTTCTGTTTTTCTCACAAATGTCGAATTGTATCAGCTTGGTTGATAATATGGTTCCAGGCTGCTGTATTTTTTTTTCAGTCTGTTCTCTTACCCAAAGCGTATTAAAATCTTCAACAGCAACTGTGAATTTGTCATGACTTCTGTCAGGTTTTGCTTCTTGTATTTTAAAGATCTGGTAGTAGATGCATTTGCAGTATTTCATAACCTCTTGAAGAACTGGCCCCTTCATTATTATAAAATGTGTTTCTTTATGAATTTTTATAATACTTTCTGTATTGAAGCCTACTTGGTTTGACGTTAAATCAGCTTTGTTTACATTCAGTGTTATTCTCTACTTCTCCCTGCAGCTTGTATATGCCGTTAGTTTTCAAGTGACTTCTTCCTGGAAACCTGCCTTTGGGTCTTCCTTCTTAGCTGGCGTGTCTGAGCTGTCCACATCTAGTGTTGTCATTCGAATGGTAGACGTGAGCCTACCTTCTCACTGCTCGGTTCTTGTTTGCCACATACACTCTGTGATCCTTTATAAAAAACTTCAGTTATATTTGTTCATTGTTATATTCCATTTTATTTTTTCTGTTAGCCCTTAGCTTTTCCTTTCTGGTTTATTGTTTAGCTGGTTGCTTACAGTTTGCATTTGTAACTGATTTCAGTCTACCTTTAAAATATGATACACCCCCCCATCAATCTAAAAATGGGTATCTGAGATGAATATGCACTTCTCAGATGAAGAAATACAAATGGCAAATAAATACATGAAAAAGTGTTCAACATCGTTGGTCATTCGAAAGATGCAAATTAAAACAACACTGAAATTCCATTGCACCTCAGAAGGAATGGCTATCTTCAAGAAAACAATAACAAATGCTGGAGGGACTGTCGGGAAAGAGGAACCCTTCTCCACTGTTGGTGGGAGTGTAGACTGGTGCAACCACTGTGGAAATGAGTCTGAAGATTCTTCAGAATACAAAGATTAGAAGTCCCACTTAACCCAGCTATTTCCCATTTGGTATTTTTCCAGAAGGACTAAAAACATCATACCACAGTGATATGTATGCACCCATGTTTATAGCAGTGCAGTTTATCATAGCAAAATCTTGGAAACAACTCAAATGCCCATTAACTGAGGAATGGATAAAAAAGATGTGGTATTTTTATACAATGAAGTATTACTCAGCTATAATTGGATAGCCCCAGGAAAGGGACACTTGCTGAAAAACGTCTACTTCCCTCTGGTTGGTAGTAAAAATATCCTTCCAAAAATGAAGACAGAAGAACATTTCAGAGAATATTGAGAGAATTTAATAACAATGGACATGCTATAACATATTAAGGAACTTTTACAGGCAGGAGGAAAATGACAACAGATGGAAATTTATATCTTTCCGAAAGGAAGAAGAGCACCACATATGGTAAATATGTAGATAAATAAAAGGATTTTCTCCTCACACGACTGCAAGACACTTAGTAAAGAATAAAAAGAGTACATGTAGAATTATGAAAGTAGCACAAAGAATACAATGGGAAAAATGTTAGACTCAAAGAGGGTTAAATTACAAGAAAGCTGTATTATTTTTTATTTTATTTTAAAGAAAAAAACAATAAAAACAATGGTATAAAATTTCAAAACAAGATTGTAGGAGAGTAACAATGGTTAGTACACTGTATATTGTTGTCTTCAAAGTAGTTGCTCATATTATAAGATATAGGCATGAAAAATTGATCAAACAATATAGGCATATACCTTTCTTTACAATGAGCTAATAGCAACTAGTAGTATAACTATCTTAACTATGTATATATTTAATCTATTTTTCCTTTTCCCTTCCTTCTTTTCTCCTTTCCTCCATTCCAGTGGCTTTTTCCTTCTGAGCATTTTCTTCCCATTTCACAATATAGTGTACATTTTGTGTGTTATTTACTGTTTCAGCTTCTTACACTAGGGAGACCATATGTTTATACATGGGAGACTGATTTATTTCACTTATGAGTACGGACTCAAATTGCATCCATTTCGCTATGAATGTCTCAAGTTTATCCTTCTTTGTAGCTGAGCTACAAAGTGAGCTCAAGGCCAGCCTGAACTGCATAGTGAGACCCTGTCTCAAAAAAAAAAAAAAAAAAAAAAAAGAAAGAAAGAAAATTTTGTAACACAAGCAGTTTAGAACTTTTTGAACAATATTTTTGTGGTGCTGCAGATTGAACCCAGGGCCCTTGCACTGAGCTACATCCCCAGCCCCTCTCCCCTTTTCTCAAGACTGGGTCCCCCTATGTTGTCCAGGCTAGACTCAAATTTGTGATCTCTTACCTTGGCCTCTCAGTTCTGAGATTAAAATGTGTACCACCACACCTATCTTGAATAATTATTAACGTAAAATATGTTTATAGGGATGAAGATGAACCTGCCCAAATAGAAGACTCAAGTGCGGTCAAACCCAGTGGTTGGCTTGATAATGAACCAAAATTTATCCCAAATCCTGATGCTGAAAAACCTGGTGACTGGTAAGCACACTTCACCTTCAAATGTCAGTATTTCTTACCTTTTGTGACTAGCTTATATGGCCAACAGGAGAGACTTGTGGTTACTGGATTTGTTTTATTGTGGTATTTTAAGGAATGAAGATATAGATGGAGAATGGGAGGCACCTTATATCTCTAATCCAGCATGTCGGATTGGCTGTGGTGAGTGGAAACCGCCTATGATAGATAACCCCAAATACAAAGGAATATGGAGACCACCAATGATCAATAATCCTAATTACCAGGTAATAACCAGTTTTTCCAAGTCCTTCGTAAAGTTAAAAAATGTTGTGCTTTTTTGTCTTATACATCTAATTATCAGTGATATTGTGTTACCTTTTAGATGTTTGGTTCAAAATTCTGTGAGGTCAAAGAAAATAAAAGTCACTTAATTTACATTTAAAAAAGAAGCATTGTTTATATAATATGCTAGGGTAATAAAATTAACAGCTGAAGGTAAATTATTTTATGCCATATTGTTGTCTCATGATGCTCATGTGAAATAAAATTGGTTTTTGGGAAAGATAATATAGTGACTTTATTGAGCCTATTATAATAAATATTCACATCCTTTTCCTTCACATGATAGTTGAAGTAGCCCTAAGGCAAAGTCCTCCAACCCAGTAGGTGCAGCTCAGTAGTGAACACGCTGAGGATTCCACAGCCCAGCCTGTTTATTTTATGGAGTGCTGAAGCAGTTATTGTGCACTTTGGGTAGCAGACCAGCACTGAGATTTTCACCAGAGCCATAGACATTCGCACCTGAAAATGCAGAAACACAGATACTATACGTACAAATTTTTAGTACAGGTCCCTTAGTCAAGTTCACAGTGTAAGAGCGCTGAACAGGTACCCAAAGTCCTTTCTCCTGAAAGGCCGTACAGACAGCCATCATCTGGACCAGGGATGGCGAACCTGTTAGAGCTTTCAGTGATAACAAACAGCCTGCTGTGGCACGTGTGCCGTACATATGTTCACCACTGATCTGGACTGATAAACTCCAAAGCGCTGATGTGAGAGAATAGTGTTCTGTTGTTTGTAAGGTAGCATCTATGAACGTAGTTTGCAGGTTCAATGAAAAAAAAAAAAAAAAAAAAAAATATATATATATATATATATATATATAGAGAGAGAGAGAGAGAGAGAGAGAGAGAGAGAGATGCGCTAAGTAAAATGTATTGGCACTTATCTGTATTACAGGGTGTGTTTTACATTCAATAGCCAGATTTTATCAATTTTTCCGAAGTTTAGAATCTCACATTTTTTTATTTCTTACTCTTCCAAATAATTGAAATCTATACTTTAAAAATACCAAGTTTAGTCATTAATGAGTAAAACTTTATGTGCAAAATGACCCATTGATTTATTACTAAGATAATAAACTTATTTCCATAATGCCATATAGCTTGGTACTAAAGCAAAATACTGACCAGGTTTTTAAAAGCTGGAAGCAATAATACTCTTAAGATATCATTTATGTAATGTTCATTGTTATGTACAGAACAGCAAATAGTTTTTACTTAAAAGGGAACTGCTGTGGATGCAAAAGATGAAATCTAGACAAAGGAGAAATACTGACACAAATGAACTGCCACACATACCCAGCCCTACATTCTCTAACTGCTGGCATGTAATGCAAAATCTGAAATATGTGCAGGACTAAGCTATCCAAAAAAGGCTAAAGTGATATAGCTAAAATGCTGTCAGTGCACTGCTTAGAGCTCATAGGGCCGTGGATAAAGAGGCTGTAATATTACATTATGACATACAGTACTTAGAAAACACTGGCATTTATATATAGTATTTGGAATATTCTCAAAATTAATTTCTACTCAGAAGTTTTAATGATCATATTAATATGAACTTATTAACATCCTGGAGACTAATATATTGTATGCCCTTTGGAAATCCTTTACTATACCTTGGAAGTCATGTGTACTGTTTGTTTGTTTTTTTGCTTTTACTCCTAGCGTCTTACCCAACCTGACCAGAAGGTCAGTCCTGTTCTCCAAAAACCACTTTCTCCTTCTCTAAAGATAATGTCAGATATAATCTAGTCATTGATTTATTTCCTAGGAACTTTCAATACAATCCCTGTGTTTTTAGAAGTTTAGAAATAGTTTGGTGATTAAAGGTACTATGTTATTGAAATATGTTCTACTATATAGCTCTGTTTTAGAGATAAATACAAGAAATACATTTTGATCAAGAGAACGCAGATTGTACATTTTAAAAATGTGTGCTTTACTTAATATACTCCTCATATTTTAGCATTATTAAAATTCAGAATGTTTAAAATATGATCAGGCATACTTTGAGTGTACCGACATTTTTATATTAACAGTTCCTAAGTTACTCACTTTATTCTCTAATTTTATTGTTGTAATTATTCATTGACATTTTCTAACATTATGTATACATTAAGTTACATATTCACTGTAGTTTTTCTTCAAAGTTTTTACCATAAATGTTTCTTTTGGTAATGGTTTTGCTTAATGTATGTCTTTCTTATTACACTTTAAGCCCTATAATACAGGACAGTGTGTGTCTTGATCAGCTTGTATCCCTGGCATCTGGCACAGTGCCTGGCACAGAATAGTTACCTGTGATGGTGGAGTGAGTCAGCGAGTGAGCATGCTGTTGAATTTACTCTACTTGATCAACAGGGTAGCCACTTAAAATGTCTAATGGGACTTTCATATTGAATAATTGTTCTGAGGTTCAACTGCGGTTGATTAATGATGACTGTCATGCATGTATGCTAAGAGGAGGGCTTCTATTTTTGCTATCTAATGATCTTTCTGAACTGGGCAACTTTAACAACATCATGACCCAAACAATTTCATTAAGTGTAAAAAATTGCCTAAAATAATCACTTGTGAAATTTACTCAATGTGTTGGATTTTCACTTTGCTTTTTTTGCAGATAAAACTCAGTCTTACTCATAGAGAGTACATGAACAGGATAAGAGCAAACAAGACTTTTTCCAATACGTTACTAATGAATTGATGTCCTTTATAGTTTTGTTATCTGCTTCTTATGGTTAATTTCAACAGCACCTACTTTTTGATCAGCATTTCCAATAAAATTGTTTTATTTGAAAATTCTTTATTTCTTTCAGGGAATCTGGAGTCCACAAAAAATTCCTAATCCAGATTATTTTGAAGATCATCATCCATTTCTTCTGACTTCTTTCTATGCCCTTGGTTTAGAGCTTTGGTCTATGACCTCTGACATCTACTTTGATAATTTTATTATCTGTTCAGAAAAAGGAGTAGCAGATCGTTGGGCTGAAGATAGCTGGAGATGGAAAGTCGTGGTTGCAAATGCTAATGAGGTATGGTAGTGACCACAGTGGTCGTAATGTAACTGTGCTGAGGAATGTTAGGACTTGGTTCTATGACCAGTTATAGGTTACACAAATGGGCCTGTTAATGGCAAGTGTGCAATAATTATTAAGTGCCAAGGAAAAGCACTTAAATAAGTATGTAGACAGAGTATTTAGCTTTCCTATATTATGATACTTAATTTAGATGATATATTGAACTATGTATGCATATGTCTACTAATATTACTCATTAAATTATGGCTTTAGTGGGATTTAATGCCTTTATGTTATAGAAATAAGACTTCTTAGTATCTTTGTCATCTTACCAACTCAAGGCCTAAGTGGTAAAAATAATCTATACTTTAAGTACTTTTGAAGATGACCATCCTTTTAGAGAAATGGATGATCTCTTTCATTTAGAGAAATACAAAGAACTAACATTATTAAATTGGGTTCCAGTTTTCCCCCAAATTTTAAGACTGTTTAGAAAAGACTCAGCTCAATATTTCAACACAGTGCATCGTTAAAATCAGTTAACTATAAAGAATAATTCATACCTTGTATTTGGATTCTTTGGACACTAGCAACAACCATCAATAGAGTAGCTAAAAATGAATTTTTTGGTGGCCTTGCATTGTACTTTAATAAGAGAAACGTTTCCTTACTGAAGTTCATATGTAAATCTCTTTATATAAAAAAGAAAAAACACAGTAATTCTTAGGTTAATTTTATTAGTGTCTCCTTTAAAAGTAAGAATCAGTTATCAGAGTTGTATCTTTCTCAGTGAACTTGCTAGTATATTTATAAAAAGTAGTTATACTTTGGGAGCTAACAAAAAAGGTGTCATTATTCTGGTTGGTAACCTAGGCATTTCCACATATGTAGTAATATTTCTCCTACTGCAAAGTCTCACTGAGTGATGTGTGCTGATAGTTAAATCCTGCTTTACAAAGTATAATGTAGGGAAAAGAAAAGATTTCTTTGATTACAGGTCCATCAACTCTAATATAAAATGTCTAGGTAAAATACATAATTTGGGTAGACTGTATTTCCAAGTGGAGTGCTGGGAAGTATGAATTGCATCTTTATGCTTATTTCTCCCATAGCCTGGTATATTCAAGCAGCTAATGGAAGCTGCTGAAGAGCAGTGGTGGCTTTGGCTTCTCCTTGTGATAGCAAGCCTTCCAGTAATATTAATTACTTCATTTGGCTGGCCAACAAAAGTAAAGGTAAAATGAACTTCCTTTGACTTTCTTTGTCATATTTGTTAGTGTTGCATTCTGTGATTCAACAAGTGGTTCTTAAAAATGATAAAGTCACTCTCCCATACCTTTTATTGATAGCTTACTGTATATGTTCTCAGTTATTACAAAAACAATTTTTAAAAAGTGTTTTGCCTATAGTAAAAATAGCATATGTTAAACTACTGCAGAAAAAATTTGAAGACACAGAGGGTAAAAAAAAGGCCATATGTGAACCACAAACCAAGGGAGCACTGGAGCAAGAAGTGAAGGAAGAAAAAGCAGCCCTAGAGAAGCCAGTGGCCTTGGAGGAGGAAAGCAAACAAAGTGATGATGGAATTCTTGAAAAAGGTAATGTGATGATTATGATTTACGGTTGATTTATGACCCATGAGCCTGGATAAGGCTCATGCTGCTGCACGTGCCTGTTATCAGATTTATACACCTGCACTCTCAAGAATACGTGACTGTGGCAGTGAGGAGTGGGAGTCCTCTCTTCAGCCACCCTGTTTACAATCATCAGTTTGGGTGAGAGAGATTAACATAGTGTTTAGTTGCTTTAGAGCCTAGCCATCATGAGTCCCGTGTGCCACAGCTTCGTGCAAGGACATTTCTTGCCTCGTAAAATAAAGATGAAATGTAAGGTATATGTTTGGCCTTTGTAGAAGAAGAGGTATAAGGCAAGTGATTACAGCAATAAAACCATCATTAGCTCTTCTTCCAGTGGCTATTGTTTATCACATAGTTTATCACCTAGAATAGTTTCCTGAACATATTGGTAAATCCTGTGTCCCCTTCCCACTCTGCACAGAGGTTTTGAAGATGTATCTGAGGGGCAGAGGTTGTTTGGAGGCTTTCATCTGAGACCTCCTTACACATATCTAAGCAAAAATAAGAATATTAATGTACCAAGTGTCCCAAGCCAAATTCCAGAGTAAGCAACAGGTGATTTTAACAACTGATGACTTGAAGCATTGTTTGTAACTTGGTAGTTGACAAAATAACTTAAAATCTAGGCTCTTTTTTTTAATTAATTAATTTTTTTCCCCCAGTACTGGGAATCGAACTCACAACCTTGTGCTTGCCAGGCAGGCACTGTGCCACTGAGCTAAATCCCCAGCCCCAATTTTTTTTTTTTTTTTTTACAGGGCCTTACTGTGTAGTTCAGGCTGGTCTTGAACTCGCAGTGATCCTCCTGCCTCAGCTTTCTGAGTGCTAGGATGACAGCAGTGTGCCACCACGCCCAGCCTAGGCTCTTTAAAAAAAAAAATACATGCACGCACACACATATAAATATATACCAATGTGCACACATACTTGAAATAACTAATTGTTGCACTTGATTATAAGACTTGTATGTGTGTATGTGTGTGTGTCTGTGTGTCTGTGTCAATCTAAAACTCATTACACTGTAAATTCTCAAAATCTTACCTTTGTAAGTACATTGGTGTTGTGATCAGCCTTGGAGCTTGTTTATATATTGCTCTTATTGGAACATCTAAGTAGCAGAAAGGCCCTGTTTTGTAATGTACGCCCACATATCCGTGTTGTTTCACACTGTGCGTGTGGAAATACTTGAGGGGTGCGGAGGTGATTGTTGGCTTCCCTTTCCCCAAACTCAGCTTGCTTTTACTTTGATAGTTTTTATTATGTATAGTTTCTAGGAGTTTTTATAGTTCTGAGAGAATGCTTCAGTTTTTGATACAATGGTGGTGACAAAGTTTGAGGTTTGATTAACTGGAATCCATAAGAGAGTTGGTAAATGAAAAAAAATTGGTAATAGCATCCACAAAGTTATAAACAAACAGCATATCGAAGGATAGAAAGATCACAGAAATTAAGGGAAGCAGTCTTAAGACATGAACATAAGAAAGATGATAGTTCTTTGGCTTTCATATTGCATCCAGTACTCTATAAACTCCTGCCTTGCCTCAAGTAGGATAGCTTATTTATAAAAAGTGGTAAAATAATGAGTTTTTACAATTTTGAAAGTCAGAAATTGATTTTAAGTTTTCAAATTCAAATAAATCCCCTTCATTGTATTTTGTCAGTAGCAAAATTCTCGTTCATTGAGTTTTGTCCTTAATAAATTCTGCATTCTAGAAGAGGAAAGTGAACCTGATCAAAAGAGTGAAGAAGAAGTTGAAGTCATAGAAGGGCAAGAAGAGGAGAATAAATCCAATAAGTCTGGGTCAGAGGACGAGGTAAGCAAGTTTCTGTGTGTAACTGTTACTCATAAAACATTATTTCAATAAAAGCAGTGATCTTGTTTGTGAAAGAATTTTTGCCATACTTCTCCCGGCTTTCATAAGAGCCTCAATTTATTTTTTAAATATATCCATAAAGAAGGCAAGAAGACTAACATATGTCTTAGTGCCCAATAAGATAATAAATTAAACCTATTATTTACAAGATGTAAACGTAGAACTGTGTGTAGAAAAATTGACATTAATAAGTATAATAAACATCATTTCAACATTTCAAACATAATCTTCATGACAAGATAATTTTGTATAGCTTTTGTGAAAACATTCTAACTGTCTCAATACTTTATTGTCAGGTTTTAAAGTATTTCATTCATGAGCAATGGAGTACCATCTTCCTGATAATGGTGTAATCCATCAAATCTCTGATGGAGGGCTTTTTTCTATTAACTTCATGTGTCTACCTCTTTTTGTATCCTGATATACAGAGGTGTTTTCTACCGTGACCCTTTTTCTTCAGCCATATTTTATATGATCAGACATCATCTAGGGTATAATTGAGAACTAGAGCTGTTTTACCCAGTGTTAATCAAAAGCCCACATTCTCTACTCCTCTAAGACCTTTAAGAACTGCTTTTACCTCACGATTTGCAATCTGCACAGCTGCCTCTCAAGTAGGGAGGGTGAGAGTGTAGCTCTGCCTCGCTGGGCCCCCATGATGACATATACTTTATATCTGCTTGAAGAGATCTGTTGTTTAAATGTTCCCTAAAGGTTATTCAGTATATATACCCTGTTACTGGTCTTAACTCCCTATATTTTTAAAGGAATGTTGGGAAGTATTTTCTAGGTAGAATATCCATATTTATGGGAAGCCAGGTCAAAATCCTTTCTTCCAGAGCAGTTTTTTTAAACAGTCATTGTTTCAGCTGTGATATTCTTAATATATAACACTGTCTGTCTTCCCAAATATATTCTGGCTGTATTTGTTTCACAAAACATTTTATATATTTCTTAATTACGGTAATTAAGGTAAAAAATACCTTAATTATGTCTCCTAGGCTTTTCGTCTTCTTACGTGTATTTGTCAGCAAGTCAAATTTTGTGTAGCATAAGCTTTACAAGTAATAATGAGTTTATTTTGTATAATGTCATATAGCATCTTCATTAACATTCTGGAAGGACAAGAATTAAAGAAAAATCTCAAAACAAATTTGCTATTTTCTTTTCTGTTCCTCTCTTATAATTGTTGTGCAAGTATTGTGTATCAGAAGTTCTGAAAAAGTCTATAAAACCATCTCACCATTCGTTGGAGAAATATTGTAATGAATAGTCAGTGTTTATTACTGCATAATGAATATGTCACATAACCCCTAAGTAAGATGGTGAAACCAAGTTCTAAGTCATAAATACAATGGTAAATGGAGTTGTTGACGTGTTCTCTGTCAATGCTTAGTTGATAAAAATGGCTAGTCTAGAAACATAATCATTCCAATTATGAACAAATGAAAACACATCAACTTATATACATATTTTTGACCAGCTGCATGAAGGGAAATGCATAATGTAGCATTTGATCATTAAAACATGTATCTTAGAGAATAATAAATCTATTATGTACTATCATTTCCATAATTCTTTTTATAGATGAAAGAAGCAGATGAAAGCACAGGATCCGGAGATGGACCAATGAAGTCACTACGCAAAAGAAGAGTACGAAAGGACTAAGCTATATTCAACTATTTCAGTTCCTGAGAGAGAGATTTGGCATTTTTAAGTCCCTGTGCCAGAACTGACCGGGAATCAATCTACACATCCTGTTTATAAATATCTGCAATGTTAGTCTTTCAGATACAGTCTTTCTTTTCAGGGAAATTACATCATCTTTGAATTTGGAATTTTTAATAAAGTGGCAAGTTATGTATCAGATTTATGAGACTGATATTATTAGATATTATAGTTTTAATAGTTTGAAGACAGTTTAGGTTTGTACCAAGCAAAATGGTATGTAGCAACCTCACTGCTGTTGGAAAAGTCAGTTACTGGAATTTCCACTTAAATAATATAACAAGATAGGTGGTAGTTTTATAATAAAAATGAGTGTGTTCTGTTGCACAGAGCTAAATGCAATAAACTTTCTTATGGTTGTTTGATTATATCAGCAATTGAATGTTTTGTATTTGACCCAGTTTCTGTCACATTATAGTTACCATCAGTTGTTCAGATAAATTATAAATTCTTTTGAAGAGGTGATGTGGTGACCAAACGTGAGTAAAATGTCTGTCCTTCACAGAGCTACTGGGCAACGTGGCACAATATTTTACACTGGAATACAATGACAGTAGGCTTGTGTACAGGTTTTCTGAGCTTTTATAACTGTTTCATGCCAGAGTAGCTTACCCCATTCACAAAGTTCCTGTGCATTCATGGCTCTTGAAAATGAAATTTACGTATTTTTATGGTTTAAAGTATACCTTATTTAACATGTAGATTATCATTGGAGAGTCTTTATTTTCTTTTATTACTATGAGATTCTAGTGGCTGAGATTGGTTCATCCTGCATTGTATTTTTATTTTGCTTTTTTTCTTGACAGATTCAAAGCAGTCTGTGATGTGGATGGGACTAGCTCCTGTTACTGCTCCTCTTGTTAGAGAAGTTAACAGAAGTCCCTGAACGATTATATAGTGAAGCTGTGTTGTTCCACTTAAAATCTTTTATTGAACAACTTTTCTATGTTCAAGTACCAGGTGTAGGGGATTTAAGCCCTTGAGACCACAGAAGCGCTTTAATACTAAATATCTCGAGTTGAATGACTTTGGATCCCTTCCTGAACATGCACACCCTTCTCTGGGCCAACGCCGTCCCAGCTCTCTTCCATCTCCCTTCCATAGGTTCATGTTAGACCTCCAGGCTCTAGCTTCCCTTTCACTAAGGGAAGACAAGCACAGCCTGGAAGCTATTCACTTCCTGTTTCAGAGAGAGAATTGAAAATACAAGGAAATACTTTTCCCCACTGCCACGTACTAACTTCCATAAGTTGGTAGTGGAAATCTTAAGGCACATAAGCCATAATTTGCATTTAATATTGCAGTTAATATTAATTTGCAGTTAATATTAACTGAACTGAACACATCTTCCAGATCCTGCACTCACTGACCACTTCTCTAGGAAGATGTTATTTCAGTAGAATTAGTAGTTTTTTTGAAGTGTCAGTCCACATGAGGAGACACAGGATGGAACTGCTTACATGTTGGCAGTGAATTTAATATATCAAAAAGTGTAAAGTTCTAGTCCTAAAACAGTTTTGTTTTTAGTAAAAACTCTCCCAAGTAATCAAAACATATTAATCTTATGAATAGTTTCTAGTTCTCTTTTCAGTTTTGGCTGTATGTTTTAACTGTAGTAGAATTTATAGATAAAATATCAGATGGCTAAGAAAATTACTTAAATCTTTTCCATGGGTGCTTTATCAAAACATAATGGCATTAACCCATAAATTTCAATAATTTTTCCCAGAGTATATTGCTCCCATATATTTTCTGTACTGAGGCAGCTGTGAGTGTTTAGGAAATGAAATTATCCCCATTCTGACAGGTAAGATGAGGCAGTTGATGAGAGAGAGAAGATGCCTTTGGAAAAAATATTTGGAGTTTGTCTCTGGAGATCACTGCAGAGTAAGAGTACTTTTGAGGATGGCCCCAGGAAAACTGGAAAATTACCTAACATAGTATCTTACCACATAGTTTGCATTTGTTAAGTGGTGGAAATATACATTCTCTGTGAAATTTTGGGTTATTTTCAAGTTTTAATGTACTTGCTAAGCCATCTACACATAAGTTCTGAAATTTAAAGCAAGGTAAATATTTACTAGAACTGACCATGACCCATTACTTTAGCTTCTGTGATCACTCCTCAATGCTGCCCTTTACTGTAAGGTCAGTTATATCCCAGGGCCAACATTAAAGTTCTTGTTATGTATGTCCTTGATTTTTTTTTTTTTTTGTTCGTTTGTTTTTTTGTTTTTTTCCAGTACCAGGAATCAAACTCAAGACCTTGCACTTGCCAGGCAGGCACTGTGCCACTGAACTAAATCCCCAGCCCCTATGTCCTTGATTTTAATGAAATAACCCATTCATAATTGGTTTTTGGATAAAGTAGTTAAAAGGCAAATTAAGTCATTCTTGCTTCCAGTTCTTAATCTGTAATCATAGTCTCTGCTCTTTCATGATTTACAAGTGGTTTTAACAATTTCTGGTGTTCACTGGTAGTAATTTTGCTTATGTCAGCAATGAAAAAGTATCTGATGCCAACTACCAGAGATAGGAAGAAACAAAAGATAGGGAAAAACAAAATTATCAGGCAAAGTAAAGAAAGGGTTTTACATTCTAAGGAATTACAAAAATTCTAAGGAATTTTTTTTTTTTTTTTTTTGCTTTAGAACTTAATTTTAGATTCTGTAATTTAACTCTCTTTTGTAAGAGAGAATTTTGGACAGGAATAAAGATGCAGCATTGTTAACTGGTAGGAGAATGCTTACATGATTCTGGTTGCATTTCTACAAAAGACTTTGTTGCTACAATTCCAAAATCCAAAAATCTCTGCAAAGTGAAAATTTTCTTTAAAAAAAAAAATGCATTAGTACCTGTTTGCAATACATAGTGGTTCTGTTCAGCCTGGGGGACTGCTACAGGCATGCAGCCCTCCTCGACCGTTTCTACTCCTCCTGCTCCTCTTTCTCCCTCCGCAGACCTCTTCCCATCTCAAGCCTACCTCCCTTTTCCTTAACTTGTCTCCTTTATTTTGTTCTTTATTTTTTGGACCTCTCAAACTAGAGAAAGGATGCAATATTTAAGCTTTTGTGTCTGGCTTATTTTACTTAGAGTAGATCCTTCTATTTTCTTAAAAGTGACTCAAATTTTCTTTATAGGTGAGCAGAATGAAACTTTTTCATCACTTTGGCACCCGAACCTGACCTCCCCTCATGGTCTTTTATTTATACTATGTAGTCTTTCTTCACCCCACTTAATACTCATAGATTTTGCTGTAGAAATGTTATATTTGATAACTGCTGCTCCAAACCAGGCTGAATCATCATACTGCAAAAAATGGAAAAACACCAAGTTCTGAAACAAGTTCCAGCTAAGGGATTGTGATCTGTAGTGACTCACTGTTAAGTAATGTCCAAAGGGAATATAAAGAGGGGAAAATTGGGATGGAATGGCAGTGGCAGAATTGAGGGAAATCCTACCAGGGAAAAGGGGTGCTTCTAAGCTGTTCAAGCTGCTATAATAAAACACCATAGAATGGTGGCTTGGAAACAACAGGTATTTCTTACAAGTGTAAAGGCTGGAAGCAAAATCAGGTTGAGCTCTGGTGAAGCTTCTCCCTGGATACAGACTGCTCCCTTCTGTCATCTTTTTTATAAGGGCACTAATGTTCTTGAGGGCTCCATCCTCATGCTCTAATTACATGTTAGAATTTCAGTGTGAGTTTTGGGAGGTCGTAGTGCACAACTAGTGTGGTGTCTTCCTTGCAATCCTTCCACCAGCATGCTTAGATAATATTAAAGAAAAAATATTCTGACACTTATTAAAAGTTATCCTGACATGTCTCCTTGGGTACTGCTGTGATAAATGTCAAGACTGTCACAATGGGGACAGAAATCAGGCTGTTTTTCAGCATACTCAATGAACAGTCAGGTTGTCAGCGAGTGGCGTATTCCCAAGAGAAAACGTCAAGGCAAAGGGACTTTCTGCTAAAGATTCTTGCAGAAGGTGGGCCAGATGCTGTGATATGGCGGGTAAGGGGCTGAAGTTTGATCAGTTATTGAGGGTAACCAGCAATTGATGGAGAATCCTCTAAACTAGTTTAGCAAGGTTTTGGTAAAACTGGACTAGGCAGAATGAGATGGCCTGAAGATGAGGCCTGGCTGGAGAAAAGATTGACTGGCCTGTGTAAAACCTAGAAAGGAGCATTTCTCTCAGAAACTAGACATAATCCCTATGCACACTTGCCACCTATATTTCCAATACAGAAAATGAAAACTAAAAATATATGGCATTTGCCTATCATTCACATGACCAGCAGGTGGGGCATATTATTTCAGGCAATATTTTCTCACCTATTAGGCTGATAGTACTAGGGGAAGCAGTTGAAAATGTTAAATTATTATTAGCTGTTCCCAACAAGGTATCACAAAATGTACTCTGCAGTTTTTAGGCAGAGATGGAAGGAAATAGATACCGGGAACCTCACAGAATTAGAAAAGCCAACTGCTTCTCAAACTTGAAGAGCAGGAAGGGTTCAAAACTTATTTTCAGGTGTGGGAAACAGAAGAGAAGCCTAATAAAACTGCTCTGCCAGCTGTCCAGCCCAGCAAAGGTCTCGGCCTTGTAACAGTAATCTGGTTGCAGCACCCGGTGTAGTCTTATTTGCAGCTGGCCTTCGCCTCCATCAGTGAGAGGCAGGGTTGTGAGGAAACGAAACATACTTTGAGAATCTGGTGTAGAAAAGGCTTAGTTGTGCTTCTTGACATACAGAACCTACAAGCATACAAACGCCTGAGTGTTTCAGGAAATTATACTGCAAAAGAAACATGAGCTTGGCTTTAAAACGATGGGCACCAAGCTACCAGCGAAAAGTGACGTTCACAGAACTCCATGGAAGAACACTCCCCACTGTACTTCAGATGTTGCCATGGGGAAAATCAGAATGGAATTACTTTTCGGCAGGGAAGTCATGAAGGTCAGTGAAACAGGAAGTCAGTTTCGAGTTCTGAGGAACAGGACAACTAGTGACAGAATCTTCACAAGGTCTCTAAGGAGCATTCCATAATTGCTTTGCGTCTGAGTACTTTATCCCATTTTCCAAATCGAGAGTATTTGGCTGTTGTGTCCGACTACACTATAAATCAGGGACAAGCGCTAATAAGTTGCCTACCAGTTTAGAGATTAAAAACTACAACCATTAAAAGCTAACTGATGGACCTTAATAGAGATCCTGCTTTTTGAACGAAACCATGAGCTGGCTAAGCAGGGTTTGAGTACTTTCTAGAGGGAAGGTTCTGAACAAATACTTAGCAAGAAAAGCAGGCTGCGCCCAAAGCCACTAATGGCTAGCGAAATCATTCACCTGCTTCCAGGAGTGAAGTTGTAGCTAGAACATGGCTTCCCAGGCAAGGGACGGTATTTCTCAGCCACTCCTCTAGATGTAAGTCAGTCTCCACACAACTGGAATGCAAGAAAATACAGCCATTTCTAGGCCCAGCCCATAAAACGTGACGAGATGTGCACTTCGTGCTTTTGAAGAGTATCAGTGACTAGAGTGACCCAGGAAGCACGGCGGAAAAGGCAGCCACCTTCAGCAGCTGTGGTTCACTGTGTGCAGCAAAGCGGACTAGCCCGTAACGTTCACCTCAGAGCCACTGCGGCGGGAGCTTCTGGTTTAAATTCCGTATCACAGGTCTCAGGGTACAGCAGCTGGCCTAAGAACTAGAACCCACTTTCCCTTACAGACCGGGCGTCCTTTTCTTTCAACACTTTTATATGTTTTAACCGATGTATGATACCCTGTAATATCTGTATCAATAAAAATATTTCCCTAAAGACTCAGAACAGGTACTTAAATAAGACACACTGTTTATACTGTAGCAGTGAACCCCAATACACCACCACCACCCTATCACCCCATTTACTTAGGGAACTATATCAAAACACATACAATCTCTGAAACAGCTTTTTATTAAACAGCAAAGCAGAACCGCAACACAATTTTAAATATTTTTAAATTAGATCACAAAAGGGATGCAAAATGTTTGCAATATGACTATTACACATTCATATAGCTAAAGTCATCAAATCTTACACCAATAGATAAGATTATTCCACTGATTAGAAGTACCTCAAATCTAGTAACCATAAGCTATATTAGTAGATCTCTTCCTATTATAACATTTTAATATTTCTTTTGATATTAATTCCTTTACTAAATAGAATCTACAAACTAATTTTTTTAAACTGTTAAAGAATGACCAAAACTCCAGAAACCAAGTACTTGAATTTACAGAAAATTTTGGGAGAACAAGTGAGATAAAATACTGAATAAGGCTAGAAATGATCAGAGTAAAATTTTCACACTTATTCATGACCGAGACTAATACAGTCTCTTAAAGAATTCTGCAAAAATTTTGCTAGGAACTACAAATGAATCTTGAGACATAACTGGCCTCTCCAACATGTGGCTTATAAAAGGCCAGTCAGACTTAATCCACTTTCAAACATATTTTTCGAAATATCTACTCTGTACCAGAGAAAACAAACTTGGTGTAAAAACATTTGGAGTTGATTAATACTTTTTACTGAGTTATTTTCTACCCTGTTTCTATTTTCCCTCAAGGTTTCTTTTTAACTTTTAACATACACAACTAGAATTCTCATCTTTTCAGATATCAACTGGGTTATTTTGTGCAAAAGGAAGTTCTTAACAAATCTTCCCAATATGAAAATTCAGTTTTAAAGAAAAATCTTCACTTGTATAGACTCAATCTCTTCTTAAATGATTACAGAGAAACCAGCAATCCTAGCTTATTACTATCACAAATGACAAGCCCTAACTGAGGCAGTATCTTATTGTGGATAAGTTGCAGGAATGAGAGCTCAGGTTACTCTTACAGGTGATTTAACTATTCAAAGTAATTCTACAAATGTGAAACCATTTTTTTCCTTAGGAAGGGAAATGGGGAGGGAGAGGCAAACGGAGAAGAGGCACAAGATGGTGCACACGGTACATAAAGCTGTGCATTCAGTATATGATTTTGGTCACTTTTTCACGACATGGTGGTTATTTCCTGTATATCTTACTAAGCCTATAATAAAAGACAGTGCGAAACCTATATATCAAAGCAAATTTGATAAAACATCTTCAAGTTTCATAAATATATGCAATTCTAATTATAAAGTCTCTACAATACATTTGCACATTTTTAGACTAACATAATACACAAATTCATGGAAGTCTTCTGTTATGCAGTTAATTTTGCCTAGGTCTGACATTATCTTCATAAATATTCAATGAAGCCACAAAGTACTGTAACTTTTGGAATCTATCCAAGTTTTAAAGAAAAAAATCAGCAGCAATTCCATAAAACAGAGGGACATCAATCCCTTACTTTCTTTTGCTTTTTGTGTCAGTTGTCTGAAAAACACTAGAAGCAGACATGAGGTTTTCTATATACTGTCCAAGAACTTGGTTTTCAGATTTTAACTTCAGATTTTCTTCCTTAACTGCATCTACTCTTGCGGAGAGATCTATATAAAAAATAAAAATACCCATTATCAATAAAATGATGGCAATAACTCCATATTACAAAATATTTAAGTTTTATTCTTAAAGTTTGCATGTAGCTGAGGATGTAGCTCGGTGGCAGAGCACTTGTCTAACATACACAAGGCCCTGGGTTAAACCCCTTAGGGCTGCAAAAAGAAAAAAGATCATAATCTAAATTTTGTTTTAAAATTCAGAGTACTTTAGAGCCCGCTAAGGCAAACAAAGTAAATAAGCAGATACTAGTTCCTAAGAAATTTCACATTAAATTCAATGTTATTCTTTTTTTGTTTGGTTTTTTTTTTTTCCAGTACCGGGACTCAAACTCACGACCTCGTGCTTGCCAGGCAGGCGCTGTGCCGCTGAGCAAAATCCCCAGCCCCAATGTTATTCTTTGTAAACAGCATTTGTTATTTAACTCTTAAAATGGTTAAAGAAAACAGACCTTGTTTTTAAAATGCAAATGCTATAAAATAAGAAACTAAGTCTTTATTAGAACTGTTTAAAATATGTAGTAGATTAACAACTGAATCCACATACTGGATATTTTTATAGTAACAACCAATTTAAAAAGATCAGGTCCTGATGATCAAATAAAAATGACCTCCATTTATGCATTTAACAAATATGTACTTAATGCCCTCAAAGAGCCAAGCACTGTTCTAGAAGCAACAGCAGAGAAAAAAGGTGCATGTGGGCATGTGTTCAAGAGGGGATGCAGGGTGGGGATCGGGAGCAAATGTGAACGGATAGTCTGTCACAGTAAAAAGCCGGATGGAGCAAAAGCAATGAGGGGCAAAGTCAGAAGGGTAAAAGTCACGAGGAGGAGAAGCTGCTCCTTTCTATACTGATAGAGAGCATCCGAGCAGAGACCTTTCGGGAGGGAGAGGAGGAGCCACTTGAATGCCCAAATGACAGACCCTTTTAATTTTATTAAACATGAAAAGATGTCACAGTGGTAGCATTAGTTTTATGGAAGACATTTAGAAAATAAAAAAGCTCAGGTCAATTCCTTTTTAATCTCTGGGGTTAATACGTTGTTTTCACTTTACTATAAGCTTTACTACAGGAGACTCAGTTACACACTGCCAGGATTTGAGAAGATCCCTCGTACTAAACAGCATCATATTAGACTTTCTTAATGAACCATCTGTTCTTTAAACCCAACACCCAAACCTAACACCAGAAGAGGAAAAAAAACCTATGGAAATGGACTTTTATACACACTAACAAGGGTGGCAATATAAACGCTTACAACTTCAATTAGCTGAATGTTCACAAAACTACAAAATGCAAGCTAACCTTCAAGTGTGTGTTGGAGCTCCAACACTTGATTAATAAGTCGTGTTTTTTCCTCCAGTTCCACCTGATTTTCAGCATCAACTGCTGTAATGAAAAAGTTCAAATTTACTATTAACATTAGGCACCACTTGTGTACTATAGCACTTAAAACTCTCCAAACATTTTATATCTGTTATCTTAACTGATTTATACCAGAGCCCTCTGAAGTACAAAATTGTATCTCCACGTTGCTGATGAGGACACAAAGGTGAAAATAAGTCAGGCAATGAAAACTGCCTTAAAGCCTTTCTAAAACTAGACATGATCTAAGTAAATAAGCCGAGACCCAAACCTTCTAGAGATTGTTTCTCTGCACTTTGCATTGTTAAAAAAGCAAAAATGTCCACAAAAAAAGAAAATGAGTTTACCATCCATGTCAGCATTCATCATCTTGGGCCTTGGGTATAAACTTTTGGGCCTTGGATACAAAATGTTTGATGAATAGCCTGCAAAAATAAAAGAAACATAGACACATATGGTGATAAAATATAAGCCCAGTTTTCAAATGATGAGTTAGTCAAATTATGTGACCCATGACTCTTTTCACAGGCTTTGCTATTTTTAAGAAAAAATTAAATACCCCTGGGCAAATAAGCAAATGGTAGGACAGTATAGTTTACCAAAAAAAGTATACCAAGAGCTTCTTGGTAATCCAAAAACTACATAAAGTTAAGTACTACTGTAAATTTATTCAACTGTTTTTTAAAACTAAGCTAATCAAATGCTAACGAAGTTATGAAAAAACACATACACAAATATTAGACAAATAGTAATATGTACCCTTTTTAGAAAGTAGTACAAGAATAAACATGATTTATAAAAACATTTAAAAAAATATAAAAACATTTAAAATCCTCCTTACTAAGTATTTTACTCTACAAATTTAGCCTAAGGACAATTACAAAGAAGGTAAAATTATATATATATAAATCTTCAGTCTTAATAAACCAGTAAATCAGAAACAACATAACTGTCCATTCAGTGTGGTAAATTACAGGTGCAATTTATAATGCAGTGCCTTCTGAAAATAATTATGGTTACTCTAATAACATGGCAGAATGTTATAAAATTGTGTATTTACTAATGTAAATTATATGACATAATAAAAACAACACAGCACATTAGGGATGATGATAGGAAAGAAAGCTTTTTCAAAATATTCTTCAGTATGCTTTCATAAATAGTGTTTAGTTTTCTACACATACAGTTTAAAAGAAAACCATCTGACTCACTAACAATGAATTTAAAACGTCCACTTGTCACCTGGTTATCGTTACATCAAAACAGATTAATCAGGACATAGATAAGTAAATATAAACATTTTACTATTTCAATAAAAGGCTCCAAAATTTAGAGCACAAAATTCCTATGTAAAAAGTTCTGTCCTCTTTTTAAGTCATGGGGCTGGGGATTTAGCTCAGCGGCACAGCACCTGCCTGGCAAGTGCGAGGTCATGAGTTCGATTCCCGGTACCGGAAAAAAACTTAAAAAAAAAAAAAAATAACTATTTTTAAGTCATTTCACATTTTGCACTCAAAGTTTATTACATGTTACTGGAATATTACTGAAAAGAGCTCTGATAGTTCATTTAACTTGCACCGAAGCAAACGACCTTTTGTCAACAAGTATTTACTGAACACCTCGTATACCCACAGTACTGTTACACTTTCTACATTGAACAGTGGATCCCAGACCTATCAAACAAAGATGCCTATACACTAGCAACAATCACAATGAAGAGACATCTATCAATGGCTTGACTTCTGGGGGAAAAAAAAGCAAAAAACCAGGGTCGAGAGAGCTTATATAACATATTCAATATTGAGGGAGGGTGCACACCTATAATCCCAGCATTCAGGAGGCTGAGGGAGGAGGACTGCCAAGAGTTCAAGGCCAGCCTGAGCTACACAGCAAGACTGTCTCAAAAAAAAAGACTGAAAAGGGGGTCAGGGGCATAAAAGCAGTGTCACAAGACAGTGCTCCAGGGTACCACACCGCCCAGGAAAGCACTACTGACATCATAATCTACGTCAGCCTCCACCCCAAGGCCTACATGATACAAAACCTGACCAACTGTACAAGCAGCCGTGCAGACAGGTACTATCTTTAATAAAGCAGACCTGCACATTACCCACCCCTCTTCACAACAACAAAAAGTAATTTCCTTTTATTGTGATGTGATGAAACAGAAGTGCTTCAATATGCTGCTATTAGATATATTCTCAGTATTCTATTAGGCTTAGAGTAATAAAACTTATTTTACATATGGGGTCAAAGCGCTTGCTGATTTACGTAAAAATGTTAGCCATGGATTAGTTTTATTTTCTTTCAAAAGAGGATCAATCCTCCAGCTGCACAGTGTCTATATTAACACTTTCTACATCCTAATGTGTACTTGGTGCAAGATTTCCATTTTCAACCACATAATCCTTTTTATCTAAAGTTGCGCACATCACGTCAATCTGATTCTAGATTAAATGTGCTATGAAGAGTTCAATCTGAACTCTCTGTTCATTCACATAAATGCAAATCTGACATGGAGAAAATCTAGACCACAGCAGCTCCATTATGGGAACGCGGACATGAGTACCTGGGATGCTGAGGCTGCTCTACCTCACCTAAACCTGCCTCACATGTGTATGGTCACGGTCCTCTGAGATTTTTGAGTTCAGTTTTCAAAACTTTTCTCAAGAAGTCATAGCAAATTTTGATGCCTGGCTGTATCCACCCGTTTTTTAGTGAAAGAAAGAAAATATAGACTTATGTTTGATCATTTAAATCCAGGAAGCAGATGGTGTAGAGAAAATAAGAATCATGTGGCAAGCATTACAGCAAGATATATTATCTTTCCTATGCCCACACTGCTTTGTGACCGAAGACTATCATCTTACCCAAAATACCTCTATTTTTCTTCTCAAGAGGGAGTTTTCCCAGTTATTAAGAACATGGGCTTACATTACAGCATCCAAATCCTAGCTCTGCTATTTATAAGCTCTAGAACCATGAGCAACGTTAAAATCTCGCCCTGTTTCCTCCTGTGTAAAGGGGGGATATTAAAGGAACGCACCTCAGACGTTTGTTGTGAGAACTGAAAGGGTTGATATATATGTGCTTGTGTACCTTTTAAGTATTCAGTAAATGTTGGCTGTGTGTCACAAAAAAGAATTTCAGAAAAACTATCTGGTCCAGCTGTTTCATTTTACAAATAAACCAAGGCCAAAGATGAGAATGGCTTACTTAAGGTCATAGTAGTGGTCCACAGAGTCAAGGCTAAAACAATGTCCCAGTCTGGTTTTTTTACACTATTCCACCAAAAGGATTCTATTTCAGACCTGACATCCGTCCAACCTCAACCACTCAACTTTTCTGGGTCTAAAACTGATTTTAATCATCTGTTATCTACTTACTGGGGAACTACTAAGACTGATAAAATCTTACGTGTATTATTTTGTATCAACAAGGAATTTGCAAGATACAAAAGCGATATTAAGTATCAGAAAGGCTACACATTTTGCCTCATGTTTCACCGCCAATGTATCAAGAATCTGAATCCAAATCTATCCGCCTGGGCCCTGATTTTTCTACTGTGCAATGACAAAAACAACCCCCCAAAACAGAACACCCCACTTAATTTACAGTCCTAATTTAAGTTCGGCAAATATTTTCTAACCCCTGTTATCAAACTTCTTCGGTGTTTCTACTACGCAACTGAAGATAAATTTCATCCGCTTTAAACTGCATCAACGTCAAGGTGGTTTGTCTGGACGTGTTCAAGTTCCACTTTGGCTTGTTCATGTAATTCCTGTTTCAAATTCCACAAAACCAACGAACCATTTAAGGATTTCAACTTAAGCTAGTTCCCCGAAGTGGTGGCCTGCAGCGAGTTCCGTGAAAGGGCCGGGTAGGGACCAAGATTTCTAGGCATCGCCTCGGATGCTCGGGAATAAGTAGATCAGACGCTGGGGACACATCTGCCCTTAATACTGTGACATCACAGCCTGGGACAAGTACTGTCTAACAGATGCATAATCGCTTTTCAGGATTGCATGCTCTTTCTCTTTTTCAAACCTTGCTCCCCTTAACTTGTTCAGCAGGACTGGAGAGAAGCTGACGAAAAAACAAAACGCAGGTTCTGCTTCCAGCTCCAGGAAAGACGTCCCGCCCTGCATTCCCGCTTCCCGGCCTCCCTCCCATCCCGGCTCCCATCCCACCCACGCCGCCCACGTCCCGCTCGGGAGGCCCGGCCCGCGCCCTGGCGCTGGGGAGACAGTGCATCCCGTCCCCATCCGCAGGACGGCGGCCCCGCCCCGAGGAGCCCCTGCCTGGCCGGGAGGCTGGAGAGAGGATGCGCAGGGATGCTGCAGGGAGCCAGGCCCCGGCGCCCACCAGACGCTCAGCCGCGCGCGAGCCGCGTCCCTCGCCCCGCCCTCCCAGCCCTCGGCGGCCACCCCAAGCACCGGGAGGTCCCCCTGCGCCCGGGCCGGCCCTCACCTTTAGCCTGAGGCGCCGCGGGGGGGCGTGGGATGATCCGGCGGACGCCTCAGCTTCTGATGCTTGGACCAACAGACGCCGGCTGACTCGCCCTCTCGGACCACCGAGCGTGCGCCGACAGAGAAAGCCCGCCCCGCCCCATCGCCCGCCAATCACGAAGCACAGATGTACGCCTGCGCATTAGCCGCCCGCCCCTAAAGCGCCGGATCCACCTTTGCCATAACAAAAGGGCTTTGATGCCCAATCAGGATTAAGGTCTTTGGGGGCGGGGCCGGAAGAGCAACAGCCAATGAAAGCACAGCAGCGGAGCTCTGCGTGAGAAAGCTGATCCTCCTAGTGCAGAGGGTCTTGTGTCATCCAAAGCCTGAAAGTTGGAGTTAAGTCTAGGTGAAAAATCCTGACTACTGTCAAGAAAGAGGTTGTTGGTGTATGCTAGACGAGGGAGAAACCAATCAAATTCAAGAATAGGGCGTTAACAGGCAGATCAGAGAAAGCGAACCGGTGCAATACTGTATTCTCTCAATTCTAAAAGCAGACTTCTCCATATTTTTACATTTTCAAAATCAGAAAGCTCATCGAGTGTAGCACTAACAGAATGTTTCTCTCTGTATTCCTCCAAACTGTTATTAAATCTATACTGCTCCTGACTACTAAATGACGTTTTAGAATTGAGAAAATACTATACTAGGGCTTTGCATGGCCCTTTCACTCACCTTATCCCGTTTGATTTTCACAGCATCCCACAGAAAACCTTGAAGCCTAATGGTAAATACATCTTTATTAAAAGTCATACACACGGGGATGAAGTGCTATGTGCCAACTCTGAGATGTGATGGAATCTCCCCGACGCTGTGCATTACAGTCTAGCACGGAAAACACAGCGCCCCGCGGGTGTTGATATTCATGGAGCAGAGGACGCACGTCCACGGCAACACATTCTTGCTTTAACTTTGTGGGAGTGAGCTTTGTGTGTACCCTGTTCTTGGCCTCACCCTTCTAGCAGAGCTTGTTGACACATAGCCTTAATCATTTTAAGAACTGCATTTTAAAAATCCTCAAGTTGGCTGGAACCACAATACACAGTTTGAGGAAATTTACTAGAATGCAATGCAGTAGCTAAATAGATAAAGGGGAAAAAAATCCAACATGAAACTAATAGGAGTGCCAAAAAAAGCAGAGAGAAAGGGTGTAATGGCTGTAGACACTACTGGAAGAGGAATGACTGTGAATTGTCAAAAATTGTGAAATATTTGGGTCCTCAAATTTAAGAAGTCCTTCTTTCACACATACCCACCCCTGTCCTAGGAATAGAACCCCTGGCCTTGCGAATGTTAGCCATGCATCGTCCTCTGAGGTTCAAACCCAGCCAAGGAAGTACTTATTCTTGAGCAGACTAATATAAAGGATTACATGCAGTGTTGAAACTATTGCAAAACACTAAAAACCAAGAAAAACTATTACAAGTAACATTTTTGCTGAAACTTTTTTTAAAAAACTGTTTTAGTTGGATAAAGTATATGTAACAAAATTTATCATCATAACCATTTTTAAACTCAATACTATTAAGTGTATTAACGTTGTCGTACAACCAACCTTCAGGCCTCTTTTCATTTTCCCAAACTGAAACTCTATTCCCATACAACAGCCCCTACTTCCCAGTCTCTATAGCCCCTGGCAGCCTCTGTTTTACCTTCATTAATAGTTCGGCTACTCTAGGTACCTAATAGAGGTGGAATTATTATCTTCAATGTTCATCCATGTTGTAGCATACTGCAGAATGTCATTTTAAGGGCTGGACAGTCATATTTGCTTATCCATTTATCTGTCAACAGACTCTCTGATTTCTTTTATCTTTGGGTTATTGTGAATAGTGTGGCTGTGAACACAGATGTGCAACTCTTCATTCCAGATTCTGTTTTCAGTTATTCAGGTACATACCCAGAAGTGAAATTGCTTGATCATACGGCAATTCTATTTTAAAGCAACTTGTAAAAGGAAGATCACAATATATACACTATTGAATTGTTACCAGGATTGTTCGACTAGGTGAAAATAAAGCACTGCAAACTGAAATGACTTTGGAATCAGAAGTCAAAGAAGATGGGTTGGATTGTGTAGCCTCAACCTAATTTACTTCTGTTCTTACTAAAACCAAAATATCAACATGCTTTACAGGATCGAAACAAAGCCGGTGGAGATCTAGTAACGTGCTAATGAAAATAGCCAGGATCTAATCCACAATTATTCAGTTTGTGGACAATCACGGAAACCTCAGTTCCCGTGAGAGTAAAAAGCAACAGATACCAACTCTGAGATGAAATGATTTTCAGCAGCTATCACCAAAAACAAGCAATCATGAAAATCCCCAACACAGGAATTATAATTAAATGTATTAGCAACATAGATATAAGGTAAAAATAGGAATCAAATGGAAATTTTAGAACTGAAAAAATTAAGTATATTCTTACTTTTTATGAAATTTAAAATTGCAAAGATAAAAGGGAATTTGATAATTTTGGCAGAAGTTATTCAATCTCAGCAACAGAGAGAAAAATTATCAAGGAAAAGTGAGCAAAATCTCAGGAACCAAAAAAACAACATCAATTTTTTTTTTTTTTTTTTTTTTTTTTGGTATGGGGAATCAAACTCAGGACCTTATGCTTGCCAGGAAGGTGCTGTGCCACTGAGTTATATCACAGGCTCCAGCAATAAAGATCTAACATTTGGGTCATCAGAGTCCTAAAAGGGAATGAAAACCAATATAGTACTGGAAAATATTTGAAGAAAGAGTGATTTTGGTGAAAGAGAACTTTATAGTGAAGAAGGTGATTAAGAAAATTTCTAAGGGAATAAAAAGAATTAAGATGTGTTAAGTACATGTACCTACCCCCTAAGACAAATGTAAACATTATGTAGTGGAAACATGTACTTCATAATGTTTGTAAAAGAAAATATCCTAAAAGGATGTTGGAGGGGAGGCATAAAAAAGAAGATTGAGAAACGATAATTTATACACTATCAATATCACTAAAACCGCAGCGGCAGTCAGGGGTCATTTACTTTCTTGTAGAAGAATACACCTCTTGTCTTTTGTTTAAAGTTGCAAAATGACTTTGATTCAGTTCGTAAACTAGTAATGCAGGAAATACAGAAGCCAGAGAACTATGTTAAATCTGCCACCTGTATAAAATTAGAAAAATTGTCTATGAAGAATGCTACATGAAAAACCAAAAACCCTTTCTTCAATAAACCACTTTCACTGGGGGATAAAATAAGGGAAAGAAAATCTATAGATAAAAGATACCAAAATATGTTTTAAATTTTTTTGGCTTATTTTGGATGTAATTTTATATGATTTTCTTAAATGTAAGACAAAACAAAAGATTGTTATAAAGTTGGCTGTGGTTATTTTACAGCATTCACCTTTTTAAAATTTCAGAACCAAAACCATGTTTGCCAGATAATTTAAATTTAAAAAGAATCTTAAGCTTTGCCCAGTGTCCAGTGCCTCTACTCCCAGCTACTTACTATGGGAGATTGAGGCAGGAAATTTCTTGAGCCCAGGAATTTGAGGTTTGAGGTCAGCCTGGACAACATATGGAGACACTGCCCCACTCCCCCCCAAAAAAGTATCTGGGAACACTATCTGAAAAAGGAAACATACAAAAAGAAAATAAAAGAAAAAGAGTTTAGAGAAAATCAAAAGGTTAAAAAACAATATGTGATTCATAAAATGTTGCAAATTTGGTAAAGCTGTTGCTTTTAAAATGTGCCCTTGATTGAATAGGGAAAAAAACAACTGCAGAATGACAGAAAGGTGGCGAAAAAAGAATAGTATACACCTAACTGGAGGTAAAAAGGGCATCAAAATTTTAGCAAACTGTTGATGAAGTGCATATTCATTAGGATACCTATTTCATTATTTGAATAATTTTTAATTGAAGATGGCTATAAAAATTACTTGGCCATAAAAAGTTCCCTTCTTCTGAATAAGGAAAAGATACAAGTAGAAACCATTGAGCTCACATAAGAATACTTGATTACATAACAAACATTTATGTGAACTGGAATATTTGACTATTGATAGTATCATTCATTTAAAGAAAGCACAAAATCAAAATTCCCTTCACAGAGAATGGGGAACTTCATATTGAAACTTCTTACCCAGCAATGTGTTATGTGGGAAAGAAATGATACATCATCAAATACAGAACTTCCAAGATCATTTTGCTGTTTGACACACTCTCATCACTCACAGAAAAACTTCTAGCTTGTCTTAAATAATTAGAGGATTCTAAACATGTGGATATTTTAAGGGGGAATATGCTAAATGGAGGCATTTTGATAACTTTCAGGTGTAACCAGGTGCATAGGCTCATTAATCTGCAAAACATGTTTCATTTCATTCCTAAATAAGCACTCACATTTTCTTTCTCACCTATTTTTTGCCTTGAAAGGTTACTGAACTCGTTGCAGAGTGAGTGCTGTCTTGAAGTTAGTGATTAAAGAATATATTCTACTTGTTGAAACTTAATTTCAAAACCACACCTAATAATGTACTATGGAATAGTATACTATCCTTAAGAATATAAAGGTACCATATTACTCTTTGGTAAGTTAAGTTGTTCATGTGTACTTTTTCAAGATTGTAACTTAATAGCCGATAGTTCAATAATTTGATCAGAGTCACTTAATCAGCTAGAGGAAATGTAAGAATTTTTAGAGAGTTTCTCAAACAAGAATTCGGGAGGACTTCAAGATACATGCAATCTAACTTTATGGTAAAAATGAAAAATATTTAGAAATTATCCTGTAGAGTTTTGTTGTTCATTTATCTCCAAAGTATTTTGTAATCAGTGTTTCCTAAAGATTAGGGCTCGCACTTCTAGTTTTACAAGGTGAACTTTTAAAAATAGCTACATATTTATTTTATTATAATACAAACTATGTGAGTAATGCAACTAACTCTCCATTTGCAGATGTTGTTGCCTAGAATACGATTTTAGACTAAGTCGTTAATTTGATGTGGCAAAAATTTCAAAGTTGCTGTGCATATGACCCTGATCTATCAACAGTGCAGCAAACATCGGTTATAAGAAGAAATCTGGATTTCAGTTCTGCTTTAGCCTAGAGTTGCTCATTCAATTCTTCATCT